CCTCTCATGTTTGTTTAACTAACTTAATTTCTTTAACTTTCTTTAGGTTTCGTTAAGGTTTGTTTGAATTCTACTTTATATTTTATTATTTAATTTCATTCTTAAAAGGAGCAACTGTCATGAAACTGAATTCCCTACAGGAACATTTAAGTATTCTGGTGTTGATAGTGATATAACTTAAATGAATAAGAAGTTGTCTAAGTGGAAAGATTAGGTTAAAAATCAATAATGTTTTAATGAGGGGACGGAGATGAACTAAGACATAGGAATAGAGAGAAGTGTCTGTAGTACTGTGGGTTACCATCATCCTCTCCTGTCTCCTCAGCCGCACTGATCCGAGGGAACAGGAAGAACTGTGCTCAGTTCTCTGGCTCTTTGGACTGGCTCATCAGCAGACTGGAGAGACTGGAGGCCTCTTCTGGTAGGTCAGCATATCTCTATGGAAAAAGTGATAATGTTGCAGGTGAAAGACCTCTGGTAATTTTTGTGAATATGTTATAGGGGCAGAAAGCCAATCTTTTTTTGATGAGTTGAGATTGTATAGTTCTGCAGACTGATTGGATACTTACCTACTCTTTCTCCTTAAAAAACTTGCTTTTAAAAGTCCATTGTCAATATAATATTGCAACATTCCAACACTGAGACACACAGCTGACTGGTTGTGAGTCACTAAAGCTCTTTGTGACTTACTCATAGAATATAAGAGTCTTGACCAGTCAAAATTTCTAAGGATGATTTGTGAATATGGACCCTATTTGTAAATGCTTTCTGTACAAATGCAGTCGTTCTTACTCTACATATTTTGTACTTCTAGGTATACTAGAGGTGCTTCACTGTGTGCTGGTGGAGAGTCCTGAGGCACTGAACATAATCAAAGAGGGACACATCAAATCCATTATATCTCTGCTGGACAAGCATGGGCGTAACTACAAGGTACAGACACCTTCTCTATCCGCATTGGTGTACATAGACATGTGCAGTTTATTTTTACAAGTTCCCATGGATAGCCATGTGTGGTGTGAAAACGCTCCCAGCAGTCTGTGGGCTGACCCTGAGGCAGAGAGGACACAGAGCTGGAAGAACAGAGCAGCCAGAAGCAGCTATTTAGTCATGTTTCTTAACTCTGTCAAATAGAAAATATTGTGTTAATTTCCTGAAAAGCACTCGGGGCCAGATAACAACAGACATTTCTCAAGACAAAAGAATAGAGCTAAATCACTCAAATCCATCAAGAATCCTTCACGTCAATCTCTGTTTGTGCTGTATGTGTATGTGTGTTGGTATTGTAACAGTAAGGTATTTTTAAACACTGACATATCTGGCTTATGTGTACCGTCCAGGTTCTGGATGTGTTGTGTTCTCTGTGTGTGTGTCACGGCGTGGCAGTGCGCTCCAACCAGCACCTGATCTGTGACAACCTGCTGCCAGGGAGAGACCTGCTGCTGCAGACATGCCTGATCAACCACGTAAGCAGGTATACACACACACACACACACACACACACACACACACACACACACACACACACTAAAAACTAGATTATTACAACAAATCCTATTATCTTAAACCTGATCTTTAACTTATTATTTTTAATTAAAAACAATAATTCTATTTTGTATTAAACATTTTATTTCTCACGTTTTATATAAATATATTTGTTTTATTTAGCATCTTTTTATTGCACATCTTACTTCCACTGCTTATCTTTATATACATATTTATATAAAATGTTCTTTATGTTTCATTGTATTAGCAACTGTCATGGATCCCAATTCCCTACAGGATAATTAGAGTACTCTGATTTTGATTCTGATAATATTAATGAATAAAAGGTTATGATGAAAAAAAACGCTACAAAAATAACGAACAACGACAAACCCTTAGGTAATTTTCAGTCAGATCATTGACAGTCTCTCATCTGCTTCATTCTCACTACAGCATGCGTCCCAACATCTTCCTGGGTGTCAGTGACGGCTCCGCTCAGTACAGGAAGTGGTACTACGAGTTGATCGTGGATCAGGCGCTGCCGTTCGTCACAGCGGAGGCTTCTCACCTCAGAGTGGGCTGGGCCAACACCAGCGGCTACGCTCCCTACCCCAGCGGGGGCGAGGGGTGGGGGGGCAACGGGGTGGGCGATGACCTTTACTCCTATGGCTTTGATGGTCTCCATCTCTGGTCAGGTGGGGTCTGTGTGTGTTTGTGTGTGTGTGTGTTTGTATTGAAAGAGATGACGGTAAACACAAATAGGTTTGGCTAGGGGACATCTTTTCTGAAAAGCTTAGGAAAAGCTAATAATAAAACTACATACCAAGAAAAAGCATTCACTGCATATAGTCTGTTGTTAATTATTCACACAAACACATTTTATGCCACACTTATGGTGTATTGTTTTTGCAGATTTTTCTCAAAATCGACTAAACAAGTGGCTGAAAGATTAGTATATAGTATATATATATATATATAATATATAATAGCATATATATAAGTATACGGTGGAATTTCTCCAGTTAAATGCAGATTTAACTCAGTAACGTAAACCGTATAGCCCTGGGCTTATTTTAACCCTGGGTTATTCTTAATGTGTGCATGAAAAAGGGTCTGAGCTTACTCTTAGCCCAGCGCTAACGATCAAATTATTGATGCCGTGTTTAAAGGTCTTACATGAGATGACTTTCAAACAGATGTCCATAAAGAAGGTTTGAAATGGGACATTTATTATTCCGATGCTCACATGTTGCATACTCAAAGTGAACCTGTGTTCAATGTGCAGGCTGCATTGCACGGACTGTCAGCTCACCCAATCAGCACCTCCTGAGTGCCGAGGACGTGGTGAGCTGCTGCCTGGACCTCAGCGTGCCCAGCATCTCCTTCAGGATCAACGGCCAGCCGGTTCAAGGCATGTTCGAGAACTTCAACTCTGACGGCCTCTTCTTCCCTGTGGCCAGCTTCTCTGCAGGAGTCAAGTCAGTGCTTTACTGAAAACATTTACACCAAATACAAATTTAGTTATTGTTCCCACCCCTCATGGCAGAGTTTATATTGTTGGACCATTAAACATAAAACTATAAAGATTCCAAAAAGACGGTAGATTACCTTCAGACTTTTTGCAGAATACAGACTCACCTTTACACTTAGGATAAAATAGGCTACACATCTGTTAATTATTATCCAGATGAACAATTATTTTCTTATTTCTCGCTAATTATATTAGGGGATTAGTGCATTTCTTCATTTGGTGTATATAGCATTTGTATCTAAAAGTTTTTTTTGTACATTTGTGCCTATACACAAGTTATTGAGCCGTTTCCGCTCTACATCCTGAACTCCTCCCTTCGATGCAATGCACTTCCGTTTTGGTGGACTGGGTTTGTTTTGCTAGCTAGCTCCGTTGTGCCGACAAAGCACTGATATCGCAGAGACAAAGAGGATATAACAATTACAACATGAAGAAAAGTGGTTCGGGAACTACGTGTGCGGTAGTTGGTTGCAATCACTCGAGAAAGCACCTGAACGAGTGGTTAGATAGAGAGTGCTACGACCACAAACCAGCTCGAAGAGGCAACCATGTTGTTCATTAAATACAGATAAACACAACAAATACTGCATGCATTGTATTTTTTAATATTATATATGAATATTTTCATAGTGATGTAATTGTGTGGGCTGCTTTTATATTTTAATTTGTAATACCTGTTAGGATTAAACATGTGATCTTTCTTGTTGAAGCCATTTCTTTAGTTTCCTCTAAACAATTAATTAATTCAGTGTTATTTATGTACAGTATGAGCTTAATATGAATGATGAACTGTGTTAAAAGAAATTGTAGCACTCTAAGGAACATATGAAATGCAATAATGCAATAACAGTGCAATAATGAAATTAAATTACATCAAACTTTATTTTCACTCAAACAGTACAGGCACATATGATATATTGCACAGCATAAAGAGATCATGTAAATTGTGCATTAT